CTGCATCCAAACGGCACCGTGCCGCGTTGAAAGTGCTTTTGGAACACCACACCCGTGCCCCTAGCAAGCATGTGGCGTGCCGCTACCGTGCCGCTGCCGTGCCCTTTCTTGAACCACCTGCGCATATCGTCTCTATCCATAGAGTTTCGAAAATGTTGCGAAAATAGCTTGTCATTCATTTTCAGAAATTTTTGTACTTTTCACCGTTTTATGGCATTTGGTTTTGTTTTTCTAGGCTTTCAGGTGGAAAATCATGAAATATATTTGTGCCAAAAATTTGCTGAGTAGAATTCGGTGAAAACCCTCGGAATCGGTGGAGTGTCCGAAATTTTGGTAATGTCTTGTGCCGCTAAACAAGGCGCAGGTGGGAGACCGGAGTGTCGTTGCGAATCTGGCTGAGCGAACTTCCAAAAATCGGGAGTAAAACGGCAAGAAAAAACGAAATTTCCGTAATTTTCTTAACAAAAAAAAATCGGAAAAATTTTTCATGTAACAGGAATACAAATTTAAAAAAAATTTCCGTCGAATTGCTTCAGAACAAGTCGAAACTTCAGCCCAGAACGTATCTCCCGAGTTAATGAACACTGAGTCAGCCGTTCTTTCTCCCTCAACAAAGAAAATGAGCTTCAAATTCTAAAGCACACCTTTTTTTGAGATCAACAACTTCATTTTCAGCAGATTTACGTTCGAAAACTCTATTCATCTTTCCGCGCCTCTTCAACTGGCATCTACCAGTTATACGCCGTCCGCGCCTCTTCAACTGGCATCTAGCAGTTATCCGCCAGTCCCACTTTGTCTGTGTTGTCTGTTTCTATAGACGAACGGGCCGCCGACAGAACGGTCCGTCGCCTACCCGTCAACGGCCCGCTCGTATCGATAAGGAGGCGACTAGACGGTATTCACCAGTTGGCGCCTCTTCAGCTGGCAACTAGCAGTTATTCACCAGTCGCGCCTTGCCTGTGCATTCGACGGGGGTTCGATTCCCCCCGAACGCAGACTTCTTTTTTTCTTTTCAGGCTCACTTTTTACCACCGGACACTTCGAAATGAATCGGGACGTATCTGGAAATATCACTTTTTTGGGAGTGGCAACTGGAGGTCTGATGTCCTTCTTTTCGACGTATTTCAAGAATGTTAGTGACTGGCTATAGTTCTATAGACTGTAGTTAACTAATTTTTTCAGCTGAAACTGACTGGAATTGATATAGATCCACAATCAGAATATCTGGCTAAGAAATGGTTTGGGTACCGGGATACGAAAAATTCAAAAATCTTGATTGGGGATGGAGCAGAACACATCGTGGAGATGGCAAGACGAGGTGAATTGACTTATCAGGGATAACTGTATCATTTCGAATTTCAGAAGAAACTTCTGATGCAGTTCTTGTTGACGCTTGTCACAACCACGCCCCTCCCGATGGAATCTACTGTCCTGTTGAAGCCGTTCGAACGCCAGAGTTTCTGAAAAGTCTCTCAGCAGTAATTGGGACGAAAGGTACATTCTAATCCCTAATCAAAATTTAATTTTTCAAATTTTCCGGGATTACCACATACAACATGTATATTCTTCATAAAAAACATCAGAAAGGCTATCAGAGAATTCGCGATGAATTTTCTAAGTATTTCACAGAATGTCATCTTGGAAGCAATCATTTAGGAAATGCGGTTGGTAAATATTTTAACATCTAGAAAAATGTTTAATGTGTGAAAAATTATAGTTCATCATGTGCTCCAATAACAGAATCGATCAGAGCACCGTTGATATTCCGACAGTAAGATCTTTCTTGAAGAATATGAGAATCGATGGATTCCTGGTATGATTTCATTCTAAAATAAAGTACTTGGTACTTTAGTTATACTCTGTTACCAACAAAGATCTCTAACTCTTTCACATTCCAGAAGAACCTTCTCTAAAATGAAGCAGCTGCCGATCCCACCACTCAATGCTCTATAAATCAAAAAAGTCATCCGTTGAACCAGCTGTCCTCTCGACGCGGTCATCCTTTCTCCTATCCACATTCTTTGATGCTCCTCATTCAGTTCTTCTTCTTCTTCTAAACAAAATGACTATGTTTCCTCTTTATTTAATATTACTGTCGTTTTTTGTAGGATCGGGTATGTTTCAGTTTTCCTTTTTTTTTCTTGTTAGCTTAATTTTTGAATGAATAATAAAGATTATTTAAACATTACATAAATTCTAATTTTCCACAAAAAAAATTCTGAAATTTCTCGATTTCTGCAGACACAATGACGCAAAATTACGTACATTGGACAATTTGTTATTTATTTGCTTATTTGTAGCCAAGATGTCTGATTTGTGATCTGATAACAGCAGGTGTTTGAGTATTCCAGAAACAACACATTTTTTCATGACAGCTGGGTTTTTGTTCTGCAGTTCATTCTAGAAATTTGCAGCTATGAGCGAAAAATCATCTTTAACGATTCATGGAGTGACGGATACATTAGAAGAAGATGACGAAAAAGTTGGTTTTATAGATATTTTTGAAATTGTTCAAAAAAAAAAACAAAGTTAAGTACACCGATGCACTTCAAACAGCTGGAGACGTTTTCGCTGAGGTAGAAGCTCTTTTTGACGAAGAGAATTACGAAAAACGGAATGGATGGTTCAAGGATGAATCGAATGACGAAGGGGACATCGTATATGCTAAAGATACGCGTCATGGAAGAATGGTAAGAATCTCCACAGAACTTCCAATGCCTCCAGATTTTGTCATGAAAGAGACGTGGGATGGAATGGAGACGTTGCCAGAATGGAATCAGAATATCAATTTCGCTGGAGTTATCGCCTCGCCAACGCCGAATTTCGATATTGTAACGGTATGATTGCCAACTTCTCCATTTATATTCCTCTAGTTCGAAGAAATGCTTCTTATTATCATAACAATAGAATCTTTTCAGTACGGTAACAATGATGTTCTTGTTGTGAGTGGTCGTGAATTTGTATCAGCTAGAATTTGGAGAAAAGTTGACGATGGATATATTCTGGCTTCCAGAAGTGTCACTGTTCCATCCTTCAAATCTAAACACAAAGGAAAAGTTCGGTGAGTTTTTGATCTTTTCATTCCAATCAAAAAAACCACATTTCCAGCGCTCATCTTCATATGGCAGGAGCTCGTTTCCGTGTGAATCCATCCAATCCAGAAACCACTTTATGTGATGTTGTGATGCTTGCCGAATTGAAAGGATTTCTGCCAAAGATGCTTGTGAATCAGGTCATTGGACGTATAATGCTCATGGATACTGTCACCAATCGGCGTCATTTCCAAGATCTGAAAGCTAAACGGGACAATAACGACGATTAACTAATACCTGGTTTTTTATTGCTGGTTCTCATAATATATGTCAGCTCAAATCTTGTGCCTTATTCTACTAGTGATACACTTTTAATAAACATTTATTGCACGTGGTATCGTAGAAATTTGTGGGAAACGGAGACGTATTGAGTGTTGAAATTTGAAATTCTTTATTACACTATTCAACATTCGGAAAAGTAGTCGTCGAAATGGGAAAATCAAAGTCCGGCGAAGGAAATAAGTGGTTGAAGTGAGTTTAATAATAGCTTTTGCAAAGGATTTTGCAAACATTTTGCGAAAAGAAAATAACGAAACTTTTCAGAGACCGAGGAGAGTTTGACGAGGAAATCTTGTCACTAGCCGACGATGCAAGTATCATCTTCGAAAACACCGGAGATCTTCTCAAAAGTATGAAGAATTTCGCTGGTAGCGTCGGAGAGCAGGAAAAGAAGCATCCATACGGAAAAGGATCGAGTGCTGCAAGAACTTATGGTGGTGGAATGAAGAACTCAGCCAGCGCATTCACTCGTTCCGGAGATCAATTCGACAAGTTGTTCGCTGCTTGCTCAGCTTTCAAAGATCACATCAACTCAGCCATTCTTGCCAAACTTATTAGTTTCAAGGATATCGAATGTAAGGATATCGATCAACATATGACACAACTGAAGAAGGCCCAGAAGGATTATGCCAACAAGAAAGGAAAAAAGAATCCAGATCCAGTTATGGTTGAAGCTGCTGAAACTAGTCTGAAAAAGCTTCTCGAAGAAGCCAAAGGAACATTGACCAAGTTCAACAAGGTCGGATGTGAACTGCTGACCCAGCTTTCGACCGATATGAAGACTGGATTTGATGCCTACTGTGAGGCTGGAACTTCTGCCTGAAGAAAATTCATGAGAACTCATTTAAATACACAAAAAAAATAGAATCTGTTTTGATGTTATATTATTTATGGGAACATGTATAAAAATTATGAAGATGGAGAGAAAATGAACATGGGGGTGAAATGCAGTAAATGTGGGTGTACAGGCGAAACAAAAAACATGGGAACAATATACAAAAAATGATACAAGGTGTGCAAAAATTTCAATAATCTACAAATGTCCAAGACTCGTCGAGTTCATCCTTTTTGGAATAATCCTCCGGGCGCTGTGCTTCGATCATAGCGTGCACTTCCGAAAGATCACACATTGGACGACTCTGAAACAACATTTTTTATACTGATTTTATACTGATTTTCATGACTTGATTATCAAACTGAGTTTAGGAGCTCAGTTTTTAAGAAATCGCTACTCACCCCAATCCTGATGATATTGTTGTAGTCGTTGACTACGAAAGACGCAAGGGCGATAAGATTATGATGTGGATCAATGTATTTCAGCTTGGCAGGAGGCATTCCAATAAACACGCAAAGATAGATAACAGCATCACAGAGAGTTGACCAGTCTCGATTTAAAGACTCTTTCGTCCATCGTTCCCGTATACATAGATCGTGATGAGAAAGTGTTTCTGGAGGTCGAAAATTGAAAATGACACTCAGTAAATGAACCAGTTGGAGGGTGTTCGTGAATGCGGCAAATGGTGCATGAAGTTCCAAAGGAAGAGTGATTGTACCGTTTGATAACTGATTCGCTAGCTTCGCACGAAGTTTATCATTGATATACGAGTTTCGAATCTGAAATTTAGAACAAAAATAATTGTTAGGAAAAGAAGGAACTTACAGCAATACGCAATCCAGTCTGCAGCTCCGAGTCATTCACAACTGCCCAATTTTTAGAGTTCTTCGATTTCAGAGCAACACTTTCAACATTGACATCATAGACTTGGACTGGGAAAATGTGACACGCGTGGATGCAGTACTGCCGTCGTTTCTTGGCGATTTCGTCTTCGATTTTCGCCAATACCACTGCTTTTTCTTCTTTTTTGACTTTGGCTCTAGCTAGAAAGTTTGTCTGAGAATTGAATACAGTTTCAAACTGTGCTGGTTTGTGTTGTTGAGCTGCATCCAATTTATTCACTTCATTCTGCTTCATGGCTATTCTCATTTTAGCACTTTCCACGGCCACCCGAAGCTTCATTAGATTTTCTTCTTTCTGCGTTATCTGTTCTTTCAGAGATTCCTGAATGAGATTTTTATAAAGTGTTATTTAATTTTCAAATGTTGAACTCACTGTTGGTTCGATGATTCTCAGAATCTCTGATTGAAGTCGTTCCTTTTCTTCGAATCTTTGTGTTATATTCTCTCGTCGTGAGTAGAGTTTCAATTTTTCTAATGTACATTTTTTACACCAACAATTGATTTTCTTGTTGCAATTCTTACAGATCATCCTTCGCTGGTCACCGCTGAAAATTTGTAGAATTAGAGCTTCTATAAAACTTTTCTCCTATTCTATTCACAAAATAAATAATTCAAGTATTTATATATGTATCAGCTGAACTAAATACTAATATTAATTTTTTCTAATGGATCGAACCTGAATTGGGCCGTTAAGACGCCACCACTGCCGCCAATTGACGATTTCTTCGTCTGAATCGTATCAATTTTAGTCAGCACACCAGGCGGAGTGTGAGCGTGGTCTGTCGGCGAGCCGATGCCATCCGCTGCGATTCCTGACAACAACCGAGTTATTGCCCAGTCGATATTCATATTTTTGAGAGAACACACATAAATAGAACGGACAAGGAAATAACAACTACTCTATTCACTCTCTACTATTCAACTAATCAATAGACTTAGAATTCAGAAGGTACTCACCTGGAATTGGGACACCAGTCACCGTATGCGAATGTCTGCGTATCCTATGTAACACTACCGGGGATGATTTGCTCTCAGTTGCACGCAAACTATCCATTCATTTATTGATTTGTTGGCTGCGATACTTCGCTGCCGACGTCTGAAAAGAAATTGTTGAAATTTCAGCCAATTAGAGATAATAAAGCAATGGAAGAGTTTTTAGCAATACAGTATTAAGGTTGGTTAGAATTATTTTCCCGGAAGGCGAATATTCAGGAAAAAAATCCGTGTCGTTAAAAAAATATTATGAGAGTTTGAACATCATCAGATTCTGAATCTGATCAATTTTCGCTTCATTTTCTGATCACGCGCGCGAATCCGCTGTCTCCCGTCTGTGAATGCTCGTAGTGGTGTTTGCAGACGGAATCCTCGGAAGAAGTATTATTGTTGTGCGAAAAATTGGCCGAACCACCTGGGGTAACTTCNAGCAACTGGCTGTTAAGTTGAGGTCAACAACTATTCTAGACGAATTCGATATTTTGTACGACATGGGAAAATACCAATTAGTCGTTGATGGACAGAAGACGCTGGATGAGGCAATTAAAGTAAAATTGACGGAAAGAAAAAACGGATATACATAATTAGTCATTTTTTAGCACAACGGAAAGAAACTAGTCGTCGAATTTTTGTTGCAACAATGCAAGGAAACTGCGATACTACCAGTCAACTCGGGGAAGATTATTGGGATACCAGAACAAGATATGCAAAATTTAAAGGTAAGCTTTTCTACTGAAAACTGAGGGTAAAAATGATAGCAAATGATCAAAACAACTAATTTAAACAAAAAATACTTTGAACGAATT